ATTGGCTGCGCCTCTCAGATGACTAGCTCAGCCCTATCGGAGAAGTCTGCGGGGCGGCCCCTTTGTTCTTCGGAGCCAATGGCCGGTGTGGGCGGGCTGACCTCGCCTCCCGCGGGGCCAGCAGGGGCCCCGCGAGGCGTTAAAATGTTGGCCACTGGAAAGGCGCTGAGTCTCCTGGGGGAGGAGGGGTGAGGGCGAGGTAGGGTTGCAGGTGGCCCGACGGCGCCGCAGCACCCACGCCTCCCCTCTGCCAAGCGCTCCGGCCCCGCAGACGCGCGGTCGGAAACCGATCCAGTCACTTGGACAACTCTGTCCGACGGCTGCGACGCACCCGCATCGCCCTTGGTGCTGGAATCCGGGGGAACGTGACGCACGAACCTTGCTCCAAATCTCACACTCGAGTGTGCATGTGACATGATGGTGGTACTTGGCAGTACAGTACACCAGGTGTTACAGAGTGAAATGTGCGAGCCTCATGCAACGGAAAAGAAATCGCCCTCCGCACCAGCGCAGCCCTAGGCCTGTCATGGGCACGTGTTAAATGATCCTGGGGTCTCTATGAGAGACTTAGACATCATTAAATCCAACCTCTCGCTTTCTAGTTGAGGAAACGGCGACCTGCATTCCTAGGTCGAGTGTACTGCTGATTTAGAGGCTGGGTCCAGATGGCCTTTGGTCTTCTGTTCCCCGAGACCTTCAGGAAAGATTATTTTCTCATCTACTCACCCTGATCGGAAGGAAATGTTCCTTTTTGTCAATAAAATTCCTCACACTGTTAACGTCAAAGGGGCCGGCCAGCTAGATCAACTCCCACTGGCAGATTTTCCCAAGCTGCTTCGAAACCACCTTTGGGACATGAGGTCGCTACAAAGAGAAGCTGGCCTCACTCTGAGACCTCCTACAAACCTTACCGTTCAGCCCCTGGACCTTATTCTAATTAATCAGTCAGCAGCTGCCTACTATGCATTTGCCACAGGTCCAGCTGGTGTTTAGCTTCAACACATAGAAACCACAGCCCAAGATGCTGTCAGTTTTGCCACAAACTTCTTGTGCAGTTTCTACAAAGGATTCTTTCTGTCCCTGGACTTTGACTCATTCAACAGTAGAAGAGTTAATAATTTTCTAGTCAACCTCCCGCAGCTGCAGGTAATTCATCCATGAATTCACCAAACAACAGACTGAAAATATTCAGGGGAAAAAAATTCCAGAAATTTCCAAAAAGTGAAATTTGAATTTCCGCAGGCACAGACAACATTTACATAGCATTTACACTTAAGTATTATAAATAATCTAGAGATGATTTAAAGTACACAGGACATGCATTTTTAGGCGACATGCAAATACAATGCCACTTTATATAAAGGACCCGAGCATCTAAGGATTTTATTATCCGTGGGGTATCCTGGAACCAATTCCCAGAGGATACTGAAGGACAACTAATTGGGTCCTTTTTTTTTTTTTTTTGGCAGAATCCTAATTGGGTCTATCATCTACACAAGCATTTGTGAAGGATAAAAACCTACCCAGAGGCGAGACATCACTAGGCCATCAACTCTTTTAAGAGTCTCATCCATTTTATTTTCTAGAGTACCTGGTGGAAGTTCAACCAAGACTTCTGGAATTCCAGAACTATAGTTCCACATCTGCCACTGGCTATGAGTGGGAAAGTCATTTCCACTCTCTGGGCCTCTTTCCTCCTTCTACAGAGTGAAAGACTTCCTCCTGACGGACATTTCATGGCCAAGGGAACTTCAAGGGTAGAAACAATGAAACAAATCTGGGATCCTATATCCATTAAGTGAGAAAAAGGGAGGCTGCACGTGTACATTTGCAAAGGCACAGGAAAAATGTCTGGACGACCACTCAAACTCTACATGATGCGATGAGAAAAGCCGTGGGGCGGGGGTGAGGAGAGCAGGGGTGGAGTGGGGGAAAAATGGAGAACTTTCACATTGAAAAATAAATCTAAGTACGTCTGCATTGTTTAATTATGACAAAATAATTTAAGACTTTTGTAGTTATAGAAGGAAAAAAAAAAAAGCTGGACTCTTCGGCACAGAAGGGCAACTCCTATCAGACGGCTGACCCCTCCAGTGGCACAGTCCTTCCTTCATGACTGCTGTCAACATGTGCCAGGCTGAGCAAGGACTTGGGACCCACTCGGCCCCCTGAGGGACTCAGGAAGGAACCATGGACAAGTTTGCTCTGTCCTTGCTTTACCGGCCCCCTCAAGGTCACTTCTGCAGCTTTCCCTGAACTTTGATCCTCTCCTCACCATCTCAGCCCAAAAGCAGTGGTCAGCATAGCACCAGAGAACCCAAGGTCCACCTCCCCACAGGCCAGGCACATCCTTTATAAACAATGGTTTTTCAAAAAGGACCCCTGATCAGTTTCCCCCTCCTTCATCTTTTTCCCCACCCCACACCCAGTCCTAACCCTAGATGCCTGAGGACCTGTCCCTTGTTCCCCACCCATCATCCCCAGACATCTAGCTACTTTCCTGGTCACCCCACAAAAAGCACTGCTCCTCTTCCCTTGAAGCTCCAAGCCCCCTTAAAGAGACATATTCAAGGAAGGCTCTCTTGAGACAATGTTCCCAGGCTCTGAGAGATAACCTGCCATAAACTATGGAGGTTTTGAAGTGGCCCCATAACCCCATAAACCAAAGCTTTGAAGCTGTCAGCTTCCATCCTACACACTTGGAACCCCACTCACCCCTCATCCCTCTCTCTCTTCACGCATGATTTGCATACAGGTGTTAAGTCCTCCAAGACTCAGCCCTCTTGAGGGGTAAGATTGTGTCTTATTCTTGTAAATCCCGAGTTTCCATCCCATCAAGCCTGCCACGGGCATTTAATACTTCCCTTCACCAAAAGCAGCAGAACCGTGTTCACCCTATAAACCCGCGGTGGTGGTCAAGAGCACGGGTTCCAAATCGAAGACTCCAGGTCTGAATTGCCTCTGGTGATTACCAGTTACACAACCTTGAGCAAATGTTTTCATCTGTTAATAAAAATGTACCTACTGCACCAGGATTATGTGAGATAATTCAGGTAAACTTCTTTGCAAGGTGCCACTCACATAAACAAATTGTGGTTGCATCAGACTCTGTGCTAGGTGCTGGAGGTCTATGCAGAAATTATTAAGTCAGGAAAGGGCCTATACCTGTCAAAAATAAGTGATCAAATGTGTATGAGACAACCAGTGCAGGGAAGCAAACATAGTAACCAACATGGGGAAGTGGAGAAGGCCAGCCAGGACAGAATCAAATGAGACCTTTTCCCCGACAACTGGCCCCTGCAAGGCTGACAAGCCCACAGAAGGCTGCACCACTGAAGAGGCAACCCCACTTGCTGAGTGAGCCCGGCCCCAACCTGGGGAAGGAGGGCAGGGAGCAGAAAAGCATGACATGTTGGGCCACTTGGCCTGTTGCCCACCTGTCCCCATCCAAGTAGAGCTGCTGCCCCTCCCTCCACCTCCCCAGCTCCCCAGGACAAAGGAACACTTCTCAGCCACCAGTTCTAAAACCAGATCTTTATTCTCTAGTTTGAAAAGGAGGGTTAAGTGGTTGTGTTTAGTTCCAGAGAACAAGGCCCAACAGTAGAAATTACAGGGAAGCAGACTTCATTCATTATAAGGAAGAATTTCTAACAATTAGAATTATCCTACAATAGAACCAGGGCCTCAGGAGGTGAGGGGACTCCCTATCACCTAAGTGTTCAGGCGGAGGCTGGCTGTCCATACGCTAGAAATGCTGAAAGGGAAACTCACCCTCCTTGCCCATCAGCTGACCTTCCATTGTCAATGGGGCAGTCCTTTCCACATGTCGAGTTCTGAAAGGAGTGAAGGAGGGTTGGGGTGTTCAGGCAAAAGCCCTGACATAGGGCAGCTGACAGCCAGGGGATGCTCTAAGCGCTGGGACGGTGGTGGATAAAGCAAGTCAGACCAATGGCAAGATGCCTGGGGGGGGGGGGGTTGAACTTCAGGGAGGAAAGGAAGCCAAGCACTAATAGCAGACAGGTCTCTCCAAGTCTGGGTGCCTGTGCAG